GCCCCTGACGGAATCTGCAGCGATGACTTCTCGTGCCCTGTTGGGGGCCGCTGGGAGCTCGAAAACGGACCCATGGCCTGCTCAGGGCCGCGAGAGGTCCTTGAGAAGCCACCGAATCCCTGGCCCAACTCCGCCTGACGAAAATTAAACCGATGATCTGTAGCGCCCTTGTGGGGGCCGCCCGGGGCCACCACTGGCAGGTCCTAGCCGTGACCACAACACACCCCGAATCGACCCTCTCTCTCCTCCTCCTCCTCCTCCTCCTCCTCCTCCTCCTCCTCTCCTCCTCCTCCTCCTCCTCCTCCTCCTCCTCCTCCTCCTCCCTCCTCCTCCTCCTCCTCCTCCTCCTCCTCCTCCTCCTCCTCCTCCTCCTCCTCCTCCTCCTCCTCCTCCTCCTCCTCCTCCTCTCCTCCTCCTCCTCCTCCTCCTCCTCCTCCTCCTCCTCCTCCTCCTCCTCCTCCTCCTCCTCCTCCTCCTCCTCCTCCTCCTCCTCCTCCTCCTCCTCCTCCTCCTCCTCCTCCTCCTCCTCCTCCTCCTCCTCCTCCTCCTCCTCCTCCTCCTCCTCCTCCTCCTCCTCCTCCTCCTCCTCCTCCTCCTCCTCCTCCTCCTCCTCCTCCTCCTCCTCCTCCTCCTCCTCCTCCTCCTCCTCCTCCTCCTCCTCCTCCTCCTCCTCCTCCTCCTCCTCCTCCCTCCCCTGCCTGTTTCTGCTCTCCCCCGCCACTTCCCCGTCCCCTGTGCCAGCGGCGCAGCGCTATTCGCGGCCCACGGGCGCCTGCGGCACCGCCGCAGGCATCCGACGAAAACCACCACGAAAATTGACGACGAAAAAAACATGCCCCCGCCTACGGAAAGAAATCGTCGCTCCATTTTTCGTCGCCCTTGTGCCCCCAAAGATGGAAACGGCCATGAGGACGCGGAACATGATGGAAACGTTAGTTTCGACGATATGTAAGACTGTCACAGGGTTCGGTGGGTGCAGTCCGCCCATCAGGCCTGCGCTGCTACCTGCCTGGGGGGAGGGCGCGCGACTTGACTGGCGATGAAACGCAGAACCCTACGAGCGCGGCCGAAACTCCAGCTTCAGACGCGGGCGGCGAGAGAAAGAACGAGAACACAGGGAGGGGCGAGGAGGAGTGGACGGGAAGAGAAAACCAATGTTGCGCTTTCGTTTGGCAATTCTTGAAACCTGCAAGATCAAGGAGTAGTTGCCGGTCACCCCTCCCTTGTCTGCGTGTCCTCTAAACTTCAATCTGCTCCCCCGCCACCTTCCTCCTCCATCCGCCCCTTCCTGTTCCTCGTCCCGATTTCCTGCCCTGCCCATCCCCTCCCTCGCGCCCTCACAGCGGGCCAGGAGCTCCCGAGACGGCGCGCCCCAAACATCAAGACGCGCTTGCGATAAATAACAAACACGGGGGTGCAACGAAATCTGCGCGCATTGGCACAAGCAAGCGATCGCGCGGAAACTGCGCCCTGCGAGTTCCGGTGATGCGACTCTTCGCCGCGGGCCCTGCGCCCCAGGCATCGCAAACGACCCTTCAGAAGCAGAGAACGCAACGCTGGCGAAAGCTGATGGAGTGTCGCGCCAACAGGCGCCAATGGGAAGATGAAGCAACGCCGCGCCCGCCAGCGGCGATTCCAGGAGAAGGCGGCCAAATGAAGGGCGGGCAACGGCGCTGCGCGCGAATTCTACATGAAAAAACATCGTGCGGATGTTCGCCCCCGCGGGTCCGTCGCCGCCGATAGACTTCTTGCGCGCAAAGAGAAGCAGTATTTCTCGCGCGGTGTGTTGGTGAAGGGCGCCATTCCAGCGGCGAGCAGTCTCCGCGCCAATCGCGCATGCGTGCCAGGGTTGGGCCGAAGCGCGGCAGCCATGTAGGGCTTCCGAGGGGCCAGGGACATATTGAAATGAACGTCGTCGAATTCGTGATACTGCTGTCGGATAGCGGCCACAACATCAGCGTCGCCTTCATCCCCGAGAAGCTGCCCGAGGGAGGCCAGCGCGTTGCCTGGCTCCAGCAGCGAAGCCAAGGACTCGTAGAAGCCTGCGACCTGCGACCGGCGAATCCGTGCCCTCGTGCAAGCCGGCGCCTAAGAGCTCCTGCAGGGCCCCAGCGGGAGTAGACTTCGGCGGGGGGGCCCCACGGCCACGGCGCGCTCGTAGTGCCCGGTCGCGCCGCGCGTGACGATGGGGGGGGCGCTCGGCCAGGCCAGGGGCGGCGCCCGCGCACGGCTGCCTGGCTGGTTCGTGCATCGTGTCAACTGCTCCGGGTTCGCCTCGTCGGTGGTGGCGCACCGCCTCTGCGGGCGCCGTAGAACCGAATGGGATGGACCGCCGTTGCATGGCATGGCGGCGCCCCGGAGCAGTGGAACGTCCTCGATACACAAAACTCCTCGAGGATGGGCCCATCGAGCCGAAGTCGTGGAACGAATTAGTAGAGCAGGATCGGCGGAACGTCCTCGTGAATGGAAAAGGTCACGTCGATCGTCATCCTCGTGATCATGAGTTCGCCCAGGTACGAGGGTGGTGGCCGCGTGCGCTGGGAGCGGTTGGCCACGCTCGTGCTCCCAGCACGGGTGGCCGTCGTGTCTTATCCGGCGGGCCGCTCCCTTTGGGGCCCATCCGCTGGGCTTCTCGTTCCTCCTTGCGAATGTTCTTCATGATGGCTGCGTCCCTCTCGACCTGTGTCTTGACGAACCCCAGCAGCGCCAGGGCGACCGTGGGGAGGTCGCCCGCCTCGCTGAAGCCGCTGAAAGCCGAAAACTCCTCAGGGCTCCGCTTGTCCTTCGGGCCCGCGGGCGGCCTGGCGCAGCAAATCATGGTAACGCCGCTCGGTCGCCGGGGCCCTCCTGAAAACCGCCTCCGCGAAGGCGCAGCTGCTAATGTTTAGCTGATCGCTGGTGCCCGCAAGCTGGAGATATTTCATGAGGTGCTCGTGCTCCTGAACACCCCGTTGCTCCGCCTATAGCCTGGCCGCTGTCTTGAACATCAAGTGGTGGTCCGTGAGCGTGGGCGTGCGCAAACGCTGCAAAATCTACAAATCCCAGGATGCCGAGCGTGGCCCCCAGACCGAACAATTTCCGAAGGGCTCTTCCTCGCAAGTGTCGACGACCGCTCGCCACTTCCGAAGCTTCGCCCGGCGCTGCGCCGGAAACCCGCCACAGAGCCTCGACAAGAAGGCACCCCTGCTGAGCTGCGCCAAGTTCACCAGGGCCACGCGACCCCACACCCAACCAAACAGAGCCCCTTGCCATGATTGGCGGGCAGCGGCTCGCCGACGGCATTGCCGATCTCGATGCTTGTCGCCGCGTCGCTCTCGGCGGTCGCGCTGGGGGAAGCGGAATGGCCGTGGTGTCGGCACGGAACCCGCCAAGCGGCATAGCGCCGCCGCCTCCAACTGGCGGCCCGTCGTCAGAAAGCGGGTACTCCTCCGCCCGCGGCGGATCGGCGGGAGGCAGGAACGCCGGCAACGCCTGGCCCCTCGGACGGTGCGGCGAGGCGCGTCTTCCCCTTCAGCCGCCCGCCGCCGAAGAAACTCGGCCCCAACACCCCCGCGACCGTAGAATCCGTGTAGTCCACTGTCCGCACGCGCTGAGTCATCAGCGGACCTCCAGACTCTTCCGCCTCGGCCTTCGCCTTCGCTCAGCCACGGCGGAACTGCTGACGCATCTGGTCAACCGTATGCCACGCGGCATCTCGAGAAACTCAACGGGGCTGTCCCCCAGCGAATTCCCCGCCGACTCCTCGATGTGGGTGTCCCCGTCCATGTTCAAGACCACCCAACGTGTGCTCGTTGCTCCCGCCTGGGCCGCGTCAAGCACGGCCGAGAAGAGGAGGATCCGCTCGTGCCAACGGTCGTCCCCAGCGTTGCGTGCGAGCACCTGACAGCCTAGAATCTGCCTCGACAGTGATTCCCCGACCACCAGCGCCGCCATGGCCCAGCAGCGCGGCGAAATCGCTCCTCCTCGTCAGCCCGCGGCCCAGCGTCAGCCCTGGCGCCAGGAAGGCCAGCGCCGCCGCGATGAGGTGGAGGGCCCCGAAGCACTCGGCGGCCACCTCGGGGACCGCCTCGCCCACGCCGACCAGATCCGACCAGGGCAGAGCAGCCGCCCTCTTCTGCGCCAGGCGCCAGGCCCCCTTCAGGGCCCTGGGGCCAGCCGCCGCAGCTGCAGTGGCTCGCGGGGCGCGCCGGGCAGGGCGGGGCAAGGCGGGACAGCCAGGCCGGCGGGCAGCAGCGCCCAGGAGGCCCCAGCATGGAGCCCCCCACGCGCCAACTCCTGGGCGCACGCCCAGCTTCGAAGACTGGTCGGAGGCCGTCCTTCATACCCTGGAAAGGCTCGAGCAACTACAGCCACCCGAAAGCGATGGACGGCACAGCGGTGACGGTGAGGTGTCCCAGACGTGCGGCACACTGAACTCCTCTTGGGTCGTTCATGGGGCCCTCCTGAGGCCAACTTGGAGCCTTCTTTGGGGCTTCCTGGTTTCCCATAGCACCCTCCATGGCCTCCTGGGGCCATTTGGGCGTCCCTCGGGGCTTCTGGCTGCTGTTTTGGGGGGTCCAGGCCCGGTCGAGAGGTGCTTTGGGCCCGTCTTGGGGCGGTCTTTGGGCCGTGGTGGAGCCATGGGGCTGGCCAGGCCCATCTTGGACACTCTTGAGTGGCGTCCAGGGACCCCTGGAGAGCTCTTGTAAGCCACGTGGGCTTCTTGGAAGCCTCCGGGGCCCTTCTTGGAGCTGTCTGGGGCCGAAGAGTGGAGGGTATCAATGACATTGAAAACTCACTGGTTTTGACGGTTTTCGCCTCTTGAGGTCCCTGCGAGGAGCTATCTTGGAAGCTATTAGGGCCACTTTGGCGCCGTCTTGGGGCTTCTGGAGCCGTCTCGTGGGCCCACTTGCCTCGCCCACGGTTGCGTCTGGGCTGGCCGGGTCCGTTTTGACTTACCTGGGCCAGCGCCCTCCTGGCACGCGACACGTCTGGCATTGTGGGATAGATGACGTCGGGCTTCAGCTTCGCCTTCTGCATCTCGCCGAGCAGCCGCAGAGCCCGCTGCCACTGCTCGCCCTTCTCGCACGCGCTGATCCCAGCGCTGTAACTGACTAGGCTGACCCATGGGCAACTGCCCATGAAGGCTTGATCGCATGTGAGAGTGATAATCGCTCGCGCATCTGACTGCTTGCCTGCTGTCCTGCTTGCGAGGGTCGCTGCCATGACCTGATAGCTTGTTGCCAGATCTCCTGCTTTTCTGTTTGCTTGCTGCATTGTTTGCGCGCGCGGTCGCTGTCGCCACCTGCCGCCTGCTGATGCTCGGTGCTGCTTGCTCGAACTTTCTACATCAAAATGCATGTGCTCCTTCCTCGCCGCTGTAAGGCCTCCTTGGGCCTCTCTGGTGTATGAAGGCGTCTTGTGGGTGGCTCGAGAGCGTCTGTGGGGCTTCGCGGACTGCCTCGAGGGCCAGCGGGCTGCGCAGAGGCCGAGTTGGCTGGTTTTGGGGGTCCCGTGTGGCTGTCGCGGTGCCTCCCTGGCGCCTCCGGGTGGCCATCGCAGGCTGTCTCGGGGCTCTCGGTGGCCGCCTCTCGGGCCATCTTCGAGCCGGGGCGTCTTGAGGGCCCCCTTGGGCTGTCGCATGGCTGCGTCGTCCCATCTCGCCGCTCTGTGGGGACACGTCGGAGCGATCCTGGGGCCTCTCAGTGGGCATCCTGAGCCCTCTCGAAGGGTTCTCTGTCGGCGGGGCTCTGCAGGGGGTCCTGAGGCCGTCTTGGGACGGTCCTGGGCCGTCGCGGAGCCGTCCGGAAGCCGCCTGCAGGCCGATGGGGGGGCCAAACATATCCTCGGCGCGCCTGGGGCCCTCCAGGAGATCCAGAGGCTCGGGTGACCCTGTCCGTCTCTGCGGAGAGCTTCCAGGACCGCTCTTGGAACGATTTGGGGCGGAGGAGTGTGAGTTCCAGAGCCGTGTGAAGACATGGAAAATGGAAGGGATGACTTTCGACTGAGGGGGCCCTGCGCGGAGGTGTCCTGGAGGCTCTTGGAGCCTCCTCGGCGCCATCTTGGGGTGCCTGGGGGCGTCCTCGGGGCCACCTCGAGGGCATGGACAGCCGATTTCTGTCCTCGGGGCCGCCACGAGGGCATGGACAGTCGATTTCTGTCCTCGGGGCCGCCCAGAGCTTTTCTGGAGGCTATCTGGGGCCGTCGAGGCCTCCGGCACAGGCAGCGGGGAGCCAGGCCACTGAACGACGACGCGCAAGCATAGACCACGTCGGGCTCCAGCTTCGTCTCCGACATCTCGCTAAACAGCGACAGAGCCCGCTGCCACTGCTCGCCCTTCTCGCACGTGCTGATCACAGCGCTATAGCTGATGACGTCGGGTTCCAACTTCACCGCCAACAGCCCACTGAGCAGCGCCAAAGCCTGCTGCCACTGCCCGCCCTTCTCGCACGCGCTGGTCACAGCGTTGTAGCTGACTGGGGCTGAGCCGTTGTCTCAGGCCGCGGGAGCCAGCCCACCATCTGCTGCTACTGCATGCTAGAGTTGCTGGCTGCCCGTTGCTGCTGTCACTGCTGCTGCTGCTGCTGCTGCTGCTGCTGCTGCTCAAGGCCCCAGGACACCTGCGTATTATCTTGCGGCATCCTGGGGTGTTGTGGGGTTTGTAGACAATCATCCACGCAATTGCTCCTAATTGTGGAAGGGGGTAGGTTGAGGCGAATTCGGAGCTGCTCAGCATTCCAGGTAACAAGCTCAGCGCACACAGCGCAGAATGGAACAATACAGCATTTGATAAGACACCCATGTTCGCGGCACGGAACGGCGGATGGAAGGCAGCATGGCAGAACACAGCGTCTGAGGGGCTGTCGCGCATCTGAACGCATGCGCGGTTTTTTGTTGCTGCTTGCTGCTGGCTACTGCTCGCTGCTGACCGCAGCAGGTTGGTGCTTATTTCGACTGTTCGCTGATGCTTGCTCTTGCTTGCTGCTGATCGCTGCCGCTTGGTGCTGCCTGCTGCTGACGAGTGCTGCTGCTCGCCGCCACGTACTACTGCTTGCTCACATTGCTGGGCACTGTCGGCTGATGACTTGTGCTGTGTGCCGCGCTGCGGTGGCTTGTTGCTTCCGCTTGCTGCTGGCTCTGCTGCTGCCTGCTCTGCTGCCCTTGAAGGCTTGAAGGTCTGGGCACCCGCTCGTTGGGCGGCGGGGGAATTCGAGAAACATGGACGTCCATGTCACGCGTTTCCTCTGGGGACGGCTTGGACATTTGGACGCCTATGTCTTTTCTGCCCTGGCGGCAGCCTGAATCGTCGATGCTGGGATTTCTTAGGGACTTCTTGGGGCCATCCTAAGCGATCTTGGGAGCGTATTGGGTATTCCAGAAGCCCCGGGAAAAGAAGCAAGCAGATATATCTTGGGAGCCACGCTCGGGCCATAAGGACCATCTTGGAATACTCTGGAGGCCTCTTGGGTCCATGCTGTGCCCTTGTTGGGCCCTCGCGAGGTCTCTGCAAGACATGCTGGAATTCCCTTGAGGCCTGGGTGGACCGCCTCCAGGAGGTGTGGAAGCCGTGTGGAAGGCCCTCATCCTGTGGCGGTCCGGGGCAGTCTCGGAGCCGTCTTGGGGCCTCCTGGAAGCATCTTGAGGCCAACCCGCGAACCGTCTTGGGCTATCGCTTGGGGGCTTCGGGGGCCCTGTTGAGAACTCTTCTTGGCCTGCTGGGGCCTCTGTTGAGCCTTCTCGGCCCTCCGCGGAACCATGTAGAACTGAGAAGCGGAGAGAACGACACGGGCATCGGAGATTGATGATGGTGATGATGATGATGATGATGATGATGATGATGATGATGATGATGATGATGATGATGATGATGATGATGATGATGATGATGATGATGATAGGTTCTGGTGCTGTGCTGCTGCGCATCTCGGCTCAACCTGACATAAGTATGGTCCGCCCGGCCAGGGGTCTGCGAACCTGGCTCCAGACTCGCTTGCAAAGCTCTCCAACTATCTTACACCGAAGTGCTCAATATCCTTCGGATACATATCCCAGTTGACACTATTAAGCTTCGTCGAAAGATGAGCGCCGCCAAGGTGCCAAACTACACGAATCAAGAAAACCATCGGATTCGCCCACACGCGGCTTCGCCCACGTAGCAAAGGGCCACGCGGAGTGGACGCTCGGGTGGTGCAAGCTGTCGCTACAAAGAGATATCCACTCTGAGTATCTCTCCACCGACATGCAGTGATGCAAGCACCCTGCTCGAACAAGACGGAACTTACTCAGCGGAACATCTTAGGGGAACACCGGACACCTTAGATATAGACTCAACTTCTAAAAATGAAAGAGCAGCCCTGGAACTAAGGATATTCTTAAACCTCTCGGTCCTGCCAGGGCCCGTCGAAAATATCCATGATCTAATCTTCAAAGCCAATGTGCGATCTCAGAACACAAGGACCGGTTGGACAACAACTCCTCTTCTGCCAAGTGGAAGATTGCCGGATCTGAAACTTCGCCTAGGCAAAATACTCCCATTCCATGCCAACATTTGGTTTCCATACTCGGGGTGACGAGAGTGACGAACTGATGGGAGATAATGAACTTCAGAGCGTGCTGAAGGCGAAGCCTCTGCAAGCCTGTGAAGAACTTCCAGCACTCTCGCAAGAGGATGCTGTGCCCCCCGCTCATGACGTACTCCTTCACGTCCAACTTCACCATGTGACTTTTTCTGTGAATTTGTGCGAAAGATTCCCAGGAATCTCTGAATTACGTGATGCAGGTCTTTGAAACATGGCTTGAACATTGATATTACAAAAAACATCATGGTAAGGCGGCGCGGCATGCAATGAAGTGAACGGATGTTGCACTAGCCCGGCGCCTTGTGGATTTTCGCCGTCGCGCCCATCTTATAATGGCAACGCCCTGGTGATTCGGCACACGTACGCTGAAGTCAAGCCAGCAAAAATATGTCTATCGATTTCGTCGCTACGAACAGGTGCAATCTCTCGAGATACGTCTGCGTACTCGTGAATCATGTCAACAGGATCGCGATGCGGACCCTCGTCGTAACATCTCGAATCAACTAGAACATCCAAACATGCATTCATTAGCATATGCTTACGAAGTTAAATGTATCCCCCGACTTTGTCTGTCGGAACCACACCCCACATGCCATGTCTGATCTTGTGAATGCCGCTGCGTGCGGCCATAGACAATAATGGAAGACAACCGCGCTGGCATCGAGCCAACTTGCATGCTTTTCACACTTCACTGTATAAGAATTTGGCCCATGCTTCGGGGACTGCGTCCAACTAATCAGGATAAGGAAATATTCCGGAGACTGTGATCGTATCTGTCTTCATTCGTTTGGATCGGCATTGCCACCGATTCAATAATAGGTCTGCCGCCCAACCTTGTGTCCCAAATCTATCAGTACTGAAGATGATGGCTCCAGGACGGGAAACCTCTGGAACCCATAAGTGTGTGTGTGTGTGTGTGTGTGTTGAAATGATTTCGAAGCAAGAACTCGACCTTCCAGGGTATTGGAGAAGGAACCATTGGATAAGGAACCCAGGGTCTGGTCGGCGGACTGCCAATCGAGGCGTGGCCACTGATAGCACCGCCGCCCTTATCAGGTAAGTAACCCTCTAGGGTCCGCAGCCTCCTGGGCACAGTCCTTGAACGCCCCCACCGTATCGAAAGTGAATGAATTTTTCAAATGATGGCACGACTTCGCCACTTCGGGGAGCCTGCGGGAATGCGCTCTGGAGCGTCCTCGGGGCCTCTCTTCGGGCCAACACTGTCTGGGGCCGGATTTTTGGGAGCATCTGCAGCCATCGTTGTGCCTTCCGAGGGCTCCGCGGGGCCGTCTGGGGGCGATTCGGGGGCGTCCCTGGGCCGTCTGAGGTCTTCGGGACGGCGTCAGGGCCGCGACGGGAACTGTCGAGGGCGTTTTTTTACCCAACCGAGCCCCTGGCTCTTCTCGCACTAAGTCCTGCGTTGTGCTCCCACCCGTCCTTTGGGCTAAGGTGGTCTAGCGATACCTTTCTTTCCTATTCCAAAGCCCTCTTCCCTTCGGTCCCTGAGGTTTCCTTGGCGGGGGTCGGGATGTGTCAGAGTTTCCTTTTTCGCCCAAGATGGCTCCAAGAGGGCCTCCGATGCTTCAAGATGGTCTCTAAGGCGGCTCAAGACAGCCGAATATTGTTCAACATAGCTCCCGACATACCCCCAAGAGGCCCGGCGAGGGCCACAAGACGGTTCCATGTGCTCTCGGAGCACCCGCAGGACCCCCCAAGATGCAAACACCTTTCAAACCCCCAAGGAACCTGAATGATTTGTGCCTTCTTGCATTTTCGCTTTTGATGCGGAGGCCTCATGATGGCCCCAAGATAACCCAAGAGGGGTCCGAGAGCCCACCCAGAAGGCCCCAAGAGCGCACAAGAGCGGCCCAAGAGCGTCCCAACAGGCGATTTGAATGGCCCCAGGGGGAAAGGAAATACAGGACTTCCGCTCCTTTGACCTTTGATTGACGCCCTCCAAGATGGTCCCGAGAGGCCTTGCGAAGGCCCCAAGAGAGCCCCAAGAGGGCCCCAAGACGGCCGAGGAGCGTCCAGGGGTGCCCTAAGAGAGTCCCACGAGGGCCCCAAGAGCGATTTGCCTCCTCCTCCCCCTCCTTCTCCTCCTCCTCCTCCTCCTCCCCTCGCCCCCCCCCCCCGCGGGGCCCAGGGATGGCCCGAAGAGGCTCTCCAAGGCCACCCCCTTGCCGCCAGCTCTGTTCACTATATGTGCCTCTTTGTTCCTTTTCCCGTCAGCTCTCATGGGCTTCGTTTCTGAATGGGCTTGCGGGGATACTTGAAGCATGAGGGGAATAGTGATGACGATTGGGTCCCCGTGGGGCAAATCTGCAGGCGACTTGCTCGACTACCGTGGCTCAGCCAACTGGCATCGCATCGATCCTTTCGGGGTACCTTTTGGTCTGCCTTTGGGCGTGCCCGCCTGGTGGTGAGTGTTGTTGGGGCGCCTTGAGATTTCTACGGCGTGCTGCAGGGCCTCTTGAACTGTCTGTGGAACTGCCTGTTGCTGCAGTACGTGGTGCTGCATGCTGCAGTTGCTTGCTTGTGATGCTAATGTTAGCTGGTATGCTGGTGCTGATGACTAGCATCGCTGCAAACTGATTATCGTTGCCGGTGCTTGCTGCATGCCAATTGCTCTTTTGCTGCTTGCTGGCTACTTTTGTTGGCTCTGCTGCTACTGCTGTGTGGGTGTGCCAGGGCATGCCTGGGGCCTCTTAGGGCATCTTGGGGTCGCTTCTCGTTTTTTTTTACAACAACACCCAATCTATGTGTGTTTTGCCTTTCCTGCACTGTAGTGTATGACGTTGGGCTCCAAGGTTGCCTCCCGCATGTCCCTGAACAGCGCCAAAGCCCGCTGCCACTGCCAACCCTTCTCGCACGCGCTGATCCCCGCGTTGAAGCTGACTAGGGCAGACCCGTGCACCACGTCCACGTATTCTGCACGAGCTGGCATGTAGTTGTGGACATGATGTCGAAACGCTGAAATGTTAACGTGGGGCTCGAACTACGCATTCCGCCCATGCTATGGCGTGCTGCTGCTTGCTGCCGCTGTTGCGTGCTGTTTGTAATGCCTGCCGCTGCTGCGCGCTGTTGCTACATGTGGCTGCGAGGTGCTGATGATGGACAATTCTGCTTGGTACGTGCTGCTTCCCGCTGCCTTCTTCTGCTTGCTTTTGCTGTGTGCTGCCGCTGCTGCTGCCTGCTTCGTGCTGCTGCCGTTCGCTGCTGCTGCTGCTGCTTGATGCTGCAGGGTGCTGCTTCTCGCTTGCTGACGCAACCTGCTGCCAGGAGAAGATCGAAGAGTCAGGATCGAGGAGATCGAGGAGGGAGGGGGAGAGGCGAGGAGTGATCAGCAACAAGCGAGAAGGGAGGAGCGGTCCACGGAAGGAAAGCCGAAGAGGGAGGAGGCGGGAGTGGGGAGGGACCTCCTGGGGGTCTCTTGGAGGCTCGTGAGTGAATCCCTCTAGGGATGTCTCTCGGGCATCCCTTGAGGCCTTCTTGGTTCCTTATTTCTGGCTTCTGTCGCTCTCGTGGGGCCCTCCCAACCCGCCTGGAGCCATTTGGGCGGCCCTTGGGGCCACTGGGAGCTGTTTTGTGGGGGTCCCGAGACGTTCGGGGGTGTCTTGGGGCTATCTTGGTGCGCTCGTGGAACCATCTTAGCGGCCTCTAGGACCGTCTGGGGGCCCTGTTGGGCAGTCTGTCTGGGAGCCCTGTTGGACCGTCTTCGGCTCCCCTCGGGGGCCTATTGGACAGTCTTGGGTCGATCTCAGAAGCTTTTTGGGCCGTCCTGGGTGTCCCGAGGCCCGAAAAGCGAGCATTCAAGAACCACTGGAAAACTTGAAGGAGTCAATCTTGCTTGCTCCTTGGGGCCTTTTTCAAGGATTCTCTTGGAAGCGTCTGGGGGAAGCTTTTGGAGCCTCTTGGTCTATCTTGGGCCTCCATGAGGTCTCTTGGGCTTCGTTGGAGCTCCCCGGGGCCGTCTGAGAGCCCTCTTGGGCGGTTCAGCGCCTCTCCTCTTGGAGCGTCTTTGAGCTCTCTTGGGACACTCTTGGATTATCATGGGGCGCCCCGGGGGGCCCAAGACCGCGCCGGGGCTGGCCAAGCCGATTTAAACCTCTTGAGCGCCAATCTTTCGTGCACTCGCTGTGCCCAGCTGTGAAAAAAATGTGTGTACATATATACATCCCCAGGACGAAAGTTTTTTCCTCTTGGGCCCGGAACGAAGGTTTGAAGTCTGAAGCAGACCCGTGTGAGATACCCGCCGTCGGATCCAATGAAGGTCGCGTGGATCCAATTTTGGTTTTGGTGTGTGTTTCGGTGGATCCGATTTCTGTCCGCGCGGATCCGATTTCGGATGTGCTGGATCCGTGTCCGGTCTTATTTTTCACGGCGGATCCGATTTCTACCCTGTTTTAAACTTATATTATCAAATTAAAACAGGGAGCTGGAAGAAATCGGATCCGCGGACCCCGCAAACCGCCCGTGTTAAGATTCTACGGGGGATGGGGGGTTCGGTAATTAACTCTCCACGATGGGCGTTGCGTCGTCTCGCGCACACCCATCAGCTCCCCGCGCGCGCGGGTCCCATTCGAAATGAATACATATATCCCTCTCACCCCGGTTGCTGCAAACAGCTCGTCTGGTCGCCGTCCGTTCCGGCGCCGACGTTGTCTTGCGAACTCCTCATGGCCATTTGCACCTCAAGAGGAACATCTTTCGCCCTGCGTCAGTATATATATATATATATATATATATATTTATATATACATATATATATATATATGTGTATAGACTAGCATGAACCCGTGGAAAATCCACGGCCGGCAGGGCAAAGTCAGCGGCCAAGGTAAAGCTCGCTCCTCTTGGCCATCATGAGCGTCTGACCGGGTGGACGAGCAGATTGGAGCCTGGATGGGCCATCATATTGTGTATCATGTTTGTGTGGAGCCCCCGAAGTATCTGCAGGGCCCTCCCCCTCGCCACCCATACTGTGGCTGTAGGAGAGGAGGAGGAGGAGGAGGAGGAGGAGGAGGAGGAGGAGGAGGGGAGGAGGAGGAGGAGGAGGAGGAGGAGGAGGAGGAGGAGGAGGAGGAAGAGGAGAAGGAGCAGGATAGGAGAGGGTGAGGAGGAGGAGGAGGCGGAGGAAGAGGAGGATGGTGGAGGTCTGGAGGGGCCTGAAATGTCCGCAAACACTCCCGTCGGTCGTAACAGGCGGAATGGGAGACCCAGAGTGGCTGAAACCAGCAAGTGGGAAAGGTGGACGAGAGAGGGGGGGAGGGCAAGCTTGGTGCGCTCGCGTCATATCTGACGTCATACCCATCCTTCCCATCCCTTGCCGTAGCATCCTCTACAGTCGGATGTCGAGCAGGGCAATGATCGCGAGAGGGCACGCGATGCATGGTAGAGCACGGCAAGGCAGGGCGTAGAAGAGCAAGGCAGAGCGGAGCATGCCATAGCAGGGCGTGGCATTGCGCAGTGAAGCATTGCATCACAAAACGTTGCAACGCAAAATATGGCATCGCACAACAGCGCAGAACACAACACCGCACAACATGTCATGGCATGGCGGCGGGCTCCTTGGAGGGAGAAAGGATTGTCTTGGAGAGGTCTGGGCCGGTCGGGAGTTGTGGCTACATGTCTAGTTCCTTGCGCTTCCCCGAAAAGCTCCACGCAAGGCGGGGCCGTGAAGCTCCATCGCCGTCTCAAAAGGAGAACGAAGGAGAAACGGGGCTCCCGCTTGATACTTCCTGTAAGCGACGCCCCCAAATGGGGGATTCTGCGGCCCCCAAAAGCCAACGAATCGACACCGAAAGTGTAATCACTTCCGATGTTTTTTTTTCGGGGGGGTACCTTCTAGATTTTGGGGCCTATTTGGAAGGACCGAAAACGCCCGCGCTGCAGTGGGAACAGGATTTGTAACAACCAGAGGCGCAGAGGTGGGGCCAGCGCTTCAGCGGGATCAACATCTTGAAACAAAACCCAAGCGAAAACCCAAGTCCCTCGAATCCTGTGTGTAAGCAAACAATACGCGGATCGAGGCCCCTGTCGGGAGGGGGATAAGATGATGAGGAGGAGGAGGAGGAGAAGGAGGAGGAGGAGAAGGAGGAGGAGGAGGAGGAGGAGAGGAAGAGGATTAGGAGGAGGAGGACCAGTCCGTAGCCATTTTGGCTCAAGCCATTTTGGCTCATGCCTTTCCGTAGGCCCCCCGCTCCTGGACCTTGTCCCCAGCTGACCCCTGCGACCCCAACCAGATCGGGGCAACGCTGGCGGGCGGGGGGGACTTGGGGGAGCGGGGTTTTCGGCTTATGGGCATGATGGCGCGGGAAGTGCTGCGTGGAGCAGCAGGTGCACGAGCTTCTGCAGACAACCTCATCGCGAAGCTGCAGAAGCAGATCCTTGGCCTGGAGCGCGAGCTTGCGGAGGCGCTGGAGACGATCGCCAGCCTTCGCCAGCCGCAAGGCGCAGGGAGTGCTGCAGAGGCCGAGGCGGCCCGCAGGGAGGCCATCGCGCGCCCCGCCCTGCTTGCGCGTGTCCGAGGGCGCTTCGAGTCCCCCGAGGAGCGCAAGCGGCGCAATGTTGCGTGGCACGCCGCCTCCTGCCCAGACGAGGCGGCGCCGCCGCGGGAGTGGCGCCGAGCGGAAAAAGGGCCGCGCCTCGGCTCGCCGCTGTCGGAGCTTGGGGATTCCGTGTGCGAGGTGGATGCTTGCGCCTTCGACGGGCAGGTGCCGATCGCGGGGCCGGTGGTCTCGCTGGCGCCGGGTGTCTGGGAGGCGATCGACCTGGTCGACGAGGCGCTCCCCTCCCTCGGCGAGGAGACCAAGGGCCAGGCTTTTGGGCTTGGCCTGGCAGCAGGCTGGAGGCTTGCGGAGCTGGATGCTGCCAGGCTTTGCAGTCTGCCTCTTCGTCTCCCGACCGCCGAGCACTCGGACCTCGAGTCCCACTCCGACGTGCACGACAGCGCCTCCACTGAGCAGCAGATTTTTCCTGATGCTGTATCCGAGATCGTCAAGCAGGAGGCTGCAGTATATCAGCCCGCATCGGGGTCCCGCTCCCCCGTTGTGGTCGCCTCTGAGGGCGGGTCGAGCAGCGCACAGTGGGTGCCCGTCGGGCTCCCACCTGATCCTGGAGAGGGCCGCCTTTTCACTTCAGATGCGCCGCCGCCTTCTTGGGCTCCTGGGCTTCCTCCTCGTTTGCTCGTCTTCGACGACTCCGACGGTGTGGACCCAGAGTGATCATGTGCTGGTTGGATCGCTGTCTTTCTGGTGTATTCGGATACCAGGCCTATGGTTTCGTGCGTCTGTGGTGGCATTTTATTTTCTCGGAATCGGGGCTTCCTGGTACAGTTGTGCACGGATGCGTGCGTATTGAATGTGGCTGCCGCCGAGATCGCGCCGTCGCTCGTCTCTGTGGGCTCGGTCTTCGCAATTCGGCCTGAACGCCAGCGAGATGCACCAGTACATGAATGCGGAGGTGTCTCGCTCCATGCTCCACGTGTCCTCCTTCGGGTACGGCCTGTTCTTGTCGCTGGGCGAGGTCTCGGGAGCCTTCTGAGGCATGAAGGTTGAGAAAAAAAAAAGAGGAGGAGGACCAGTCTAAACCTAAGAATCATCAACGATGTTGGAATAGACCCTCCCTCCAAACTCCCCCTCCATTGGCCCGCACACGGAATCAGTTCAACTGGAGGAACTGCCTCGTTGGACGACAACGGTTTGAACATCCTGGAGCATGCCAAGACATTATTTCCGGGACTCCAACGCCACGGACCAACCTGACTGTTGCGTCTTGACGATCCTGAACCGTGCCAGCACGCCACTCCTGGGACTTCAACACCGCGGATCAACGGAACTGGCGCGCCCTCATCATCCATAATCTTTCCAAAACGCCATGCCTGATACGTTGACCAGTGGAACCCGTGAAACTCTTGCAATTCAGGAAACATGTGCGCGGCGCTCAACCGAGAACCACATGTTGAAAAGGAACCGCCCTCAATCCGTGAAACTCTGGCATCTTTTTGAAAACGAATGCGCGCGGTGCTAAAGCGAAGGCCACATTTTGGAAACGACCCGCCCTCGATCTGTGAAACTGTTGTCAATTTTTAAGCTTCAAGGCCATACGTGGTGCGGAAGTCTCAAGCGAAACGTCCAGCCCGCCTTTTCGACTGGCCTCTTCGACAGGGAACACTGATGTATTCTGAACAAGGAAAGGAAGAGGAGAACGAGGAGAAGGAGGAGGGAAGAGGAGGAAAAGGAGGAGGAGGAGGACGAGGAGAAGGAGGAAGAGGAGGAAAAGGAGGGGGAGGAGGAGGAGGAGGAGGAGGAGGAGGAGGAGGAAGAGGAGGAGAAGGATGATGATGATGATGATGATGATGATGATGATGAGGAGGAGGAGGAGGAGGAGGAGGAGGAGGAGGAGGAGGAGGAGGGGGTGGAGAGGAGGAGGGGAGGCACGAAATAGGGGGGAGGTGGGAAGAGAAATGACAAAGAAATGGGTTGGCCCCAGGAATTTTGGGCCGTCTGTAACGCTTATTGGGGGGAAATTCGGGATCTTGGGGGCTACGTTGAAGGCGAGGGGCTCCCGGGGCACGGTGAATTTCTTCTTCTTGGGCCCGTTTGGGGGCATCCCGGGCTGTATTAGGGGCTCGCTGCCATTGCTGGCCCGCTTCGCACGTACAGGGACTCGGGCTTACCCATGGACTCACGGCCACGAGTGCCTCCTCGCATGCAGATGTGAAGATCGCTTGCCTGCTTGTACGATTTCGGAAGGGCCATCTGGTGTCGGACTAAGAATGTGATCTCAAGAGGCCGTGGCCTCTCTTGAGACGAATCCTCGGCCAGGCTTTCGAACAAAAAAAAAAACATCGCGCGGCTCGGAACGCCTCCGCCCGAGGCGCCTCGAACCACGCAGTGCCCTTCGACGCCATCGGCCTGCAATCGAAAGCCCCCCCAGAGGCCCTTTGGGGGGACCTCGACTGCAGGCCACGGGCCTCGAAGGCCGGTCCAGGGCCGAGTCGAAGCGGTCTGGAGGTTCTCGGCGCGCCCTGATGGGCGGTGCGACGCGAGACCAGCCTCTCGGGTGGGGCAAAAAGTGCGGGACGCGCTCCTCGCGCGCGCTGGCCCCGGCAATGTAACATAGATGACGTCGGGCTCCAGTTTCGCCTCCCTCATCTCGCTTAGCAGCGCCACGGCCCGCTGCCACTGTTTGCACTTTTCGCACGCGCTGATCCCAACGTTGTAGCTGACTGGCGTGCACCCGTGGGGAACCCACGGCATCCAGGTCGAAGTGTGGGCCCCGAGCGCGCAAATGTCGCCGACGCGAATAGAAGAAGGAGAGGGGGAATGGCACCATATGCATGCGATGGAATGTCCCAGAAACATCGGATAAGGAAGGCGAAGAGGAGGAGGAGGAGGAGGAGGAGGAGGAGGAGGAGGAGGACGACGAAGAGGAGGAGGGGGAAGAGACGGGGAGGAAGAACAGGAGGAGGAGGAGGAGGAGGAGAAGGAGGAAAAGGAGGGGGAGGAGGAGCAGGAAAAGGAGGATGAGGAGGGCAAGGAGCAGGAGGCGGAGGAGCGAACGAACCCTGCAAGGAGGAGGAGGAGGAGGAGGAGGAGGAGGAGAGGAGGAGGAGGAGGAGGAGGAACGAGGATGGGGGGAGGTGGAGGGAGGAGGAGGAGGAGGAGGAGGAGGAGGAGGAGGAGGAGGAGGAGGAAGAGGAGGAGGAGGAGGAGGAGGAGGAGGAGGACGAGAATAGAGAGAGAGAGAGAGGGAGAGCGGGGAGACGTTTTTTTGGAGTGTCGTGGAGGTCTTTGCGTGTCGCTCCCATTGCGCGTCAGAGGGGGGAAGCTTGCTGGTGTGCAGGGAGGAGAGGCGGAGAAGGCGAGGGGAAGGACAGAGCGCAGAAGGATAACAGAGACACAGGAAAGGGGGGTATGGAAACACCCAAAAGGATGATGCTGATGTTGTTGTTGTTGTTGTTGTTGTTGTTGTTGTTGTTGTTGTTGTTGTTATTGATGATGATGATGTCGGTGATGAGGATGACGATGCTGATGCTGACGAAGATGATGATCATGGTAATGCTGTTGGTGATGATGTTGATTGTGATGGTGTTGATGATGGTGTCGGTAATGATGCTGCTGATGATGAAAAAGACAATGTGGATGATGGGTGATGAGGAAAATGCTGCTGATGATGATGATGATGATGGTGCGGACTGGACTGGGCTGGGACTCTGGGCTCCGCCTGTGGGCAGCTAGGCACCGCGCGCGCACTCTCAAAACGAGCTTTCAGGGCCTCCCACAGTGCGCTCAGATCTACGATGCATCTCTCCACGAGCTGCCTAAATCTGAAACTGGCTACATTCTACTCACTGGTGGCCGCTCCCGATCAACGGCGATACTTCGCGATCGAATGGTCCCCGAGGGGCCGGCCCTGGCAGGTAGACGCCGCCCTCTGCGATCACGGGCTGCTCGATCAGCTCTGCCATCTTCGGACCAAGCGGCGTGTCCCGATGGAGCGTCATGAAGATCGCGCCCTTCTGCGGGCTGCCCTCCTCCTTGCGGAAAATCTCCACCCGAAAGTGCGAGCGCGCCCTCGCCACCTGCGTCATCTCGCTCTTCGCGATGACCCTGCCGCAGCTCCACCATCTGCTTCTTGAGCGTCTCCTCCGCCATCAGCTTCCCCCCGCCGACGGCGTGAACGTCGTTCCGTATTGCGCGGCCGCCATGACAAGGGGCACGTGCGGCGGGCCCCTCTGGCGGAAGTCTACCTTCTCGCCGTTCTTGCTGCGGTCCTTCAAGCTCGTCGACTCCGCGTCGTACTCTCGCCCTGCTGTCTGGCGCGCTACCACCAGTCCCCCTGATGCCAGCACTTCGTGTTCCAGGAAAGCCGCTGGAAAACGGCGGCGAGCTGTCGATACATTACCTATACGAGCTTGCTCGTGGCCGTCTGCAACCGCTCCTGCTTGCCGCCGCCTGTGGACGCGCGATCGCCCCCGCCGCTCTTCTTCGCGCGGTCGTTGCCGTTGCTCTCTCTCTCTCGGCCTCGCGCTTGCCTGGCTGCTTGAACCACGAGGGCATCTCCAGCATCGGCACGTCAGAGCCCGTGCCGCCGCCCGTAGACTCGGGCATCACATTGAAGCCTCGGCAGCTGAAAGGGGAGGTGGCCACACTCGTGGCCGCACAACTGTAAAAGGTTTGAGCCCTCGTACGGACCAAAGGGGACAGGACAACGAGAAACATTCGTCGATGAGGAGGAGGCGGAGGAGGAGGAGGAGGAGGACGAGGAGGAGGAATACATGAGAGGAGAACTTGTAGGGGGGCTCCTGGGGTGTGTTTGGGGTTCGGGGCTTTCTTTGGGGCTTCGGGTGATCCAGAAACGGCAAAAGGTGCCAGGGTCATGGTGGTGTCTGGGGCCGTCTGGGAGCCCGGTTTAGGCCCTCTTGGGCATCTCCTT